CTAAGCCTAAAAATGGGCTAAGCCTAAAAATTGGCTAAAATAAATTATTCAAAATTCTGCATCGATGCTTAGCATTAATTATTATTTATTTATTTTAGTAAAATAATTTATTTTATTTATATTTAATGTAAATATTTTATTATTATCAACAAATAAACATGATAGGATTTAATATTTTTTATTTATATTATTATATTTTGAAATGAAAATAAATTTATTTATTTGATGTTTTTTAATAAAAAAAAATAATATGCTGCTATATTGTAAAAATGTAATATTCTTTAAATATAATTTATTAGTGATTTTCACAATCTTCTTTGTAAATACATCTTTTATTGAGGAATTATATTGTAAATTTTATTAGATAAATACACAATCTTTTAGGTGAAATCTTTTATCATTTTTTTAAAATTATCTATTTATTATTAAATGAGGTGGATTTTATGAAACTTTTTTGATGTTATTTTATATGATCTTTTTAAGGATAATATTTTAATGTGACAATTGTCATAATCGTTCTTTTATAAGTTTTTTGAATTTTTTTGAAGAAAGTATGTTAAAATAAGTATTAATAACATGTGTAAATACAAATTTAATGAAGATGTACCAATGAAAAGTGACAATTGTCATAATGGTTAATTTTAAAGTTTTTTGAATTTTTTTGACGAAAATTTGTTAAAATAATTATTAATAACATGTGTAAATATAAATTTAGTGAAGATGTACCATAGAAAAGTGACAATTGTCATAATCGTTATTTTTAAAGTTTTTCGAATTTTTTTGACGAAAATAAATAAGAATTAATAACATGTGTAAATATAAATTTAGTGAAGATGTACCAATGAAAAGTGACAATTGTCATAATAGTTAATATTAAAGTTTTTTGAATTTTTTTGACGAAAATTTGTTAAAATAAGTATTAATAACATGTGTAAATATAAATTTAGTGAAGATGTACCATAGAAAAGTGACAATTGTCATAATCGTTATTTTTAAAGTTTTTCGAATTTTTTTGACGAAAATATGTTAAAATAAGAATTAATAACATGTGTAAATATAAATTTAGTGATGTACCAATGAAAAGTGACAATTGTCATAATGGTTAATTTTAAAGTTTTTTGAATTTTTTTGACGAAAATTTGTTAAAATAAGTATTAATAACATGTGTAAATATAAATTTAGTGAAGATGTACCATAGAAAAGTGACAATTGTCATAATCGTTATTTTTAAAGTTTTTCGAATTTTTTTGACGAAAATATGTTAAAATAAGAATTAATAACATGTGTAAATATAAATTTAGTGAAGATGTACCAATGAAAAGTGACAATTGTCATAATGATTAATTTTAAAGTTTTTTGAATTTTTTTGACGAAAATTTGTTAAAATAAGTATTAAAAACATGTGTAAATATAAATTTAGTGAAGATGTACCATAGAAAAGTGACAATTGTTATAATCGTTATTTTTAAAGTTTTTCGAATTTTTTTGACGAAAATATGTTAAAATAAGAATTAATAACATGTGTAAATATAAATTTAGTGAAGATGTACCAATGAAAAGTGACAATTGTCATAATGGTTAATTTTAAAGTTTTTTGAATTTTTTTGACGAAAATATGTTAAAATAAGAATTAATAACATGTGTAAATATAAATTTAGTGAAGATGTACCAATGAAAAGTGACAATTGTCATAATGGTTAATTTTAAAGTTTTTTGAATTTTTTTGACGAAAATTTGTTAAAATAAGTATTAATAACATGTGTAAATATAAATTTAGTGAAGATGTACCATAGAAAAGTGACAATTGTCATAATCGTTATTTTTAAAGTTTTTTGAATTTTTTTGACGAAAATATGTTAAAATAAGTATTAATATTATGTCTAAATATAAATTTAGTGAAGATGTACCATAGAAAAGTGACAATTGTCATAATCGTTATTTTTAAAGTTTTTTGAATTTTTTTGACGAAAATATGTTAAAATAAGTATTAATAACATGTGTAAATATAAATTTAGTGAAGATGTACCATAGAAAAGTGACAATTGTCATAATGGTTAATTTTAAAGTTTTTTGACGAAAATTTGTTAAAATAAGTATTAATAACATGTGTAAATATAAATTTAGTGAAGATGTACCATAGAAAAGTGACAATTGTCATAATCGTTATTTTTAAATTTTTTTGAATTTTTTTGACGAAAATATGTTAAAATAAGTATTAATAACATGTGTAAATATAAATTTAGTGAAGATGTACCAATGAAAAGTGACAATTGTCATAATCGCTATTTTTAAAGTTTTTTGAATTTTTTTGACGAAAATATGTTAAAATAAGTATTAATAACATGTGTAAATATAAATTTAGTGAAGATGTACCATAGAAAAGTGACAATTATTTTAACATATTTTCGTCAAAAAAATTCAAAAAACTTTAAAAATAACGATTATGACAATTGTCACTTTTCATTGTCTTCACTAATTTATATTTACACATGTTATTAATACTTATTTTAACATATTTTCGTCAAAAAACTTTAAAAATAACCATTATGACAATGTCAATTTTCTATGGTACATCTTCACTAAATTTTATTTAAACATGTTATCAATACTTATTTTAACATATTTTCTTCAAAAAAATTCAAAAAACTTATAAAATAACGATTATGACAATTGTCACTTTTCTATGGTACATCTTCACTAAATTTATATTTACACATGTTATTAATACTTATTTTAACCTATTTTCTTCAAAAAAATTCAAAAAACGTATAAAATAACGATTATGACAATTGTCACTTTTCTATGGTACATCTTCACTAAATTTTTATTTAAACATGTTTTTAATACTTATTTTAACATATTTTCTTCAAAAAAATTCAAAAAACGTATAAAATAACGATTATGACAATTGTCACTTTTCTATGGTACATCTTCACTAAATTTATATTTACACATGTTATTAATACTTATTTTAACAAATTTTCTTCAAAAAAATTCCAAAATCTTATAAAATAACGATTATGATAATTGTCACTTTTCTATGGTACATCTTCACTAAATTTTTATTTAAACATGTTTTTACTACTTATTTTAACCTATTTTCTTCAAAAAAATTCAAAAAACGTATAAAATAACGATTATGACAATTGTCACTTTTCTATGGTACATCTTCACTAAATTTTTATTTAAACATGTTTTTAATACTTATTTTAACATATTTTCTTCAAAAAAATTCAAAAAACGTATAAAATAACGATTATGACAATTGTCACTTTTCTTTGGTACATCTTCACTAAATTTATATTTACACATGTTATTAATACTTTTTTTAACCTATTTTCTTCAAAAAAATTCAAAAAACTTATAAAATAACGATTATGACAATTGTCACATTAAAATATTATCCTTAAAAAGATCATATAAAATCATCAAAAAAGTTTCATAAAATCCACCTCATTTAATAAAAAATAGATAATTTTAAATGATAAAAAAATTATAAAAGATTTCACCTAAAAGATTGTTTATTTATCTAATAAAATTTACAATATAATTCCTCAATAAAAGATGTATTTATAAAGAAGATTGTAAAAATCACTAATAAATTATATTAAAAAGAATATTACAATTTTACAATATAGCAGCATATTATTTTTTTTATTAAAATAACATCAAATAAATAAATTTATTTTCATTTCAAAATAAAATAATATAAATAAAAAATATTAAATCATATCATGTTTATTTGTTGATAATAATAAAATATTTACATTAAATATAAATAAAATAAATTATTTTACTAAAATAAATAAATAATAATTAATACTAAGCATCGATGCAGAATTTTGACTAATTTAATTTTAGCAGATATATATAGGCTTAGCCAATTTTTAGGCTTAACCTAATTAGGCTTAGCCGATTTTTAGTTTTAGCCGATTTTTAGGCTTACTTAATTAGGCTTAGCCTATAGGCTTAGCCTAATTAGGCTTAGCCGATTTTTAGGCTTAGCCTTATTAGGCTTAGGCGTAGTTTTTAGCCGATTACGCAACACTATTGTTACTTATATAAAATTTATAATAAAAATATTTTATATACTTTTAGGCAATAGAATTGAATATAAACTATAACTGATCATTATAATATATTTAAATGACATAAGTTATGGTATAATTAAATTATAGATGTTATACTAATAAAAAGTATATTACAAATTAAAACCATTCGTATCTTTACAGAATACAAAATTAGATATGATATCGGTTCGGTTATCGGCAGATATCAATTTAATATCTGGAATATCGGATCTGATCGGCCTTCAAAAGTGGTATCGGTACACTCCTAATTTTCGATTTAAAATTTAAAGAAAACTAAATCTTGATTTTAACCAAAATTTTATTTCATAAGCCTTAAAATTTCGCCAATAAAATTTCAAACCTTTTTGCCATCTACGCGCAATCGATAAACTTGAGTAATTTACTTTTGGCCAAAATCTTGAGTTACCCGTTTTTAAAAATTGGCTATATCGGGCCATTTATCAAAACTAGCTGAATGTGTCTCATTAGATATTTTAAAATCCTTTTCTTGTTCATAATATAACAAAAAATAGTTTATAATTTTTTTGATCATTACGTCAATTAAATTGTATTCTTTTTAGTTTCTTTCATTAATTTATTATTATGAAATTATTTATAAATAAAAAAAATTAAATATTACAAAAAATGTCGGATCGGTTTTTAAAATAAATCGGACCTATCGGATATTTAATATCGGCAATAGCCCTATTTCAAACTTTGTATTTTCTACTAGTTTAATATAATTTTATTCACCGAATCATAGGACTAATTTATTATAAGGGAACTTAATATTAAAATAATTAATTCTGGGCCGGGCCAATATTTTATTATGATGAGGTCCTTAGGCTTATGGCTCTAATAATCATTGCTTATCACAAGTAAAAGTTCGTATTCTTATTTTTAATATAATTCTTTATAATAATTTTAAAGAAATGATGGACGTAGAAAATAATTCCAAAATCGGCGATAACATCGAATCCAACATCGACGAGAATATTGAAAAAGAAATCCATGTTTCCGAACCAATTGTTAAAAAATCTAAAACTGAAGACTCTGTGATTGATTAATATTTAAATTTTAATATATAATATTATACTGCTATATAAACTTTATAAAAAATAAATTTTTAAATTATACCTATATTTTATATTGTAAAAACTAATTCTATCCAAAAAAAATTTTCATTCATGTACAGGATTATACTCAAAAATAATGATAAAAAGGTTATCTCTATTACACAAATTTGAATATAACTAAAAATCTAATTTTATTTAATTAAATTATAGAAATATATACTTTTTTGGAATTAGTAAATGTAATTAATTCATTTTTAAAAAGGAATTGGTAATAATAATTAATTATATTTTTTAAACCTGTAAATTGGTAATTACAACATTCTTAAATTTTTTTGAAGCCAACGATTAATAATTTCAATTATTATCATTTTTGAAGGGAGAATAATAAGGTTAGACAAAATGATTTTGAGTTATTAATAATATCTGAGGCTGTTATGTTTCGATAAAAAAATCTTAATGTAAAAGTCAGCTAGAATACCTTAATATACCATGCTTGATAATTTATTTATAATTTGAGACTTCTACCACAAATCTTATCAATGATATTGAAGGAATGGTTATTATGAAAGAGATCGAATAAAGTTTTCCACAAAAGGTGGAAAAAAATAACGCATTGGGTGGGACGTTAACCTTATATTAATTATAAAAATTTTGAAGATTTAATATAGCTGTTATTTATATATCCAGTATTTTATTTGTATCAGTATTTTTTCATTATGATAACAAAAATCAGTATTTTATTAATTTTATCACTATAATATGTAAGGATTCAGAAAAATATTTAAAGCCCATGACCCTCTAATCGTTATAAATTCAATTGTGCCACTAAGAATTGCTCGTTTCCATCAAACTGGATATTAAATAAAAGAGAATGAGGAACTCTTTAGTCATTTATGGGTCAACCAAAAATAACCCTTTGGGCTGATTAAAATTGGATTGGACAAAGAACACTGCCCACACCGATCAATTGCATATAAGTGGTTTAATAAATGAGATATTATTTTTCTAAATTACTCATTTTTAGATTAAATAGAAAAAATATTAAATTATTTTATAACCATCTTTATGCCTACAAAAATACGAATCAAATCGAGTATTTGCATTTTTTATTGCATCTCAATAATTATAACATTTCTATACTGTCATCCCCAAGTCTAGAGCAACGATCAGTAAGTATAAGCTATGACTATAGAATCGTTCAACACTAATATCCAATGCGGTATTAAATTACATATACATATTTTTTATATAAGAAAAATCAAAAATATTTATTAAATTTTTTTATAAAAAAAATATATCTAAAACATTTTCATTAATTATTTCAAAAAAATCATCCATAGTAGGTTGCGTTTTTGATCTGGCTAGGGTCAGTATTAAATTATTATAGTATTAGAAATCAGAGAAGATGCCAAATGGCCAGACCACCACCCTTTAACTTTTTTGAACCATTTTCTCTCAAAATTGGTTAAAATGTGAAAGGATTGAAATAATTATTTTTTAGCATTTTTTGATAAAATTAATAAATAGATGAATGGTTAATTTTACGATGTTTAACATTCAGGTAATTATTTATAAAATATCATTAAATAGATGAGTCTGATAAAATAAAATGTTAATATTAAGTATTATTGTAATAATTAATTTATAATATAATTCTTGAATAATATCTTATGGCCAGTTGAAACACATGTTTTGACTGGGCTAGAAAATCAACTTTTTAATAAACTTATCTAGCTCAAAAACTATTATAAGTACAGCTTTGATTCATTTATTTTAAAGATTAGGGATAGGGCTACACATTTTAAACCGCTAAAAATTGGGAATCTAGCTTATTTCTCCTATAAATTTTTAAAAGTAATTATGAAAATAATTATAATAGTTGTATTTAAATTGAGTTTTAATAAAATCTCTAAAAGTGGAGGAAATATTAACATTGTTCCCAGAATTGGGAACAACATTTGGGAATATTGATATATTCCTCATTTTTACAGATTTTTTAAAAAACTTGATTTAACAAGTGTTTACCTCCCTAGCATCTATTAATATTTATTTCAAATTTACTTTTGAAATTTTCTAGGAGATGCGAGATTCCCAATTTTTTATATTTCTAGCGATTTTATTTTAGCAATTTAATGGGATCCATATTTGTTAGATATATTACTTTTAAATGTTTACTCGTTGAAGCTGCTAGTCATGTTTGATGATAAAACCTTCCGGTACATCTTACGGTGAAATTTATATCCTGTGTTAATATTTTTATCGAGATTCAAATATTTTGCGAATTCATTATTTTTCAGGAAAATTACTTAGTCGATATGATCCTTAGTAAAATTATCTTCAATCTCTATCGTCGCCATTTTAAATTATTTTGAAAACTAGGTTTATAATGCAGATTTTTAAATATAAATTAAATAAAAAATTATGATTTTAGATTTAATTATAAATATATTTTAATAATTTTTATGTGTATTTATTATATAAAATTGAAAGTAGCGAGCTACCGCTATCGTTATTTTTTCTTAATAGTAGTGCGCTATTTTAACAACACTAGTGGGCATAACCCGTCCCTATTTCAAAAATATTATATCTTACCCAAAAAACTAATGATTAGATATTTTATTTAATGTTAAAATCAAATATTTATGAGAATTTTCGTAGTGTTGAAAATACACAAAATTGCCTAAATATTATATTTTTATTATAAAAATCTTTAATATAAGTATAAGCCTGTTTTCATTTTAAAATGTTTTTGCCTCGAAAAAATGCTTGGACCGTGTCAGTGTCAGCGTTCAAATTGTTTTTGAAACTTATTTCGGCTAGCCTAGTCTATTCAGCCTTTGAGCTGACACACTATTCTGGATTATTTAATGTTTGTACATAAAATAAATATTACTTGTAATTTATATATTTTTTTCGGTGAAATGACATGGTAAATGATAATATCCTCTTTCTTTTTCGGCTGTTTAGAGGAAACTAAATAGCCTGCTAAACAGACGGCTGTTTAGAAATAATTTGTGTGTTAACAAGCACGACCTTATATCTTAAATTATATATATATGACTAGTGAAAAATCGTCAAAATATCCACAGGATTTTTGCGCAGTAACAATTTTAAAATCTTATGGTGTTGCCCGGGGATTCCTAAATTTTTTGTAAATATGATTTTAACAATAATCTATTTTCAATTGGAGTTGCTGCTGGTTTTTCTTCAAGCTTCCCTCGACTAAACAAACATTCTACAGCTGAGCGCACCAGATGTTAGGAGACATTATATTTATTAAACAATTATTTTTTATTTAGGGAAATCACCCGAAAATATTTATCATTATTTTAAAAAAATAGCTATACAAAAAAAGGCAACTATAGAGTTACATTGAGTAACTTATTTATTAACTAATTATAATATTAGTGTGCATAGCTCTGCTCTTCGTAAGTTCACTCTAGAATGGTTTTTTAAATATACCAGGGCCGGGCTTAAAAATTTTTGTTTTTTAAATACCTGGTCAAGGCCTAAATATTTTTTTCCCTAAAAAATAACCCACCTGTATATTTTTTAAGATCAAATATTTTAAATCGTCATTATGAGCTATAAAAATTGATTATTTATGTTATATACTTTAAAAATATCCATGCCGGACCTGAAAATATAAAATCCAGGCCGAAAATTATTTTTAAAAAATATCCGGGCTAGGCCGTGTGAATGGTACCTCTGCAGGCCTCTGATATTATTACTACATTCGCAATATGTAGTGTTGTTAAACGGCTTGATTTTGCGGATTTTAAATTGAGATTTTAGCAAAAATAATATTCCGTAAGCCTCTAAATTTCGCTAATAAATGTCCAATCATTCTATTATATATTAGTAACTCGCGTAAAATATTTTGGCTAAAATCTTAGGATACCCGTTTTTAAAAATCGAACTGTTTAACAACACTAACTTGATCTCATACAATATAACATATAATTTGCTTTTAAATTTTGTTATAATTTTGAATATTTAGTTCTTTGATAATAATATATAAATAATCCTCTTAGGCGTCTTATTTTCTTGATGCAAATTGTCTTTAAATTTCTTTATTTTTCTAAATTTTTAATTTGCATACAGTTATAATTTAAAATATATTCATTATTATGAGTAGATATTATATATCATCTCTTTTGTATTAGTAATAATTATATGGAATTTCGGTGGTAGTGTGTACTTCAAATAAAATTAATTTTCGCAGGAAGGGGGGGGGGAATATGTGGTAGGGGGTAAAGGTTTTTAAGGGTATAGGTTTTCAGGTGGGAGGAGGTTAATAATTTTTTTGGTGGGGATAGAGGGGGATAGATTCGTATCAGTGGCTTGAGGGAGGAAGTGCAGAAGCCGCTGTTTGGCCTCACTTTATTTTATAAACTTGTTCCATTTTTGATAGCAATAATAAGCAAAGACAAACAAAGAATACTAATAGTTAACTTGAGAATTTTTCTATTTGCTTTGATAAAAGATACAACAATTTCTAAACAGATATCTATATAGCTTCTTCTAAGTAGCCTAGTACCGAATAAATAAATATATAAATAACAAAGTAATATTTATTTAATGTACAACATTAAAACACTCAGAATAGGTTGTTAAAGTTTAAAGGCAGAATAGACTTGGATAAACATTAATAGTTTCAAAAATAATTTGAGCGTTGACACGGTCTAAATATATAATTTATGGAATCTTAATCTCATATAATGCTTACAAATTTAAAAATAGAAAAAAAGGAGCTAATTTATTATTAATACTATATTTAATATAATAGTTTATAATTTAGTTTTAAAAAAAATTTAATTAAAATGTTATACAGTTGGATATATAAATCAAAGCATTTTTTACCAGTAATTTTATATTGAAAGATAAAAATTTAATTTCACAGGTAAATAAACCAGGTCAACCCAATTACCAATATTTAAATATTGGTAAAAAAACATGCTCAATAATAATTTGATTTTTTTTTTTAAAAATCATTTTTATACTAAAACTATTATCGATTTTAATTTAATTATTTCATATAAAAAAAATATATAATTCATCTAAAAAAATATATATAACTCATATATTTATCCTAAATAATTGTTAAAACCCATCTACTAAATTATAAATATTTTTTTAA